ATATCCTATCCGGGAACTACATTCCATATCATGGGGATGAGTCGTCATTCCACCACCACTTGCTCCGATCGGCAGATACAATGAAGTCAGTGATGCTGACTTATCAACAGAAGTTCTTGACCCATAGATAATATGCAAGGGTGGGATCTCCAATTTTGATATTTCCTCATCTCCCGAAGACTTTAAGTAGCATAAAATGGGACCAATATTTATCTCTCCATCTCCTGATACAGAGGAGGTTTGAACAGCATTCATCATCGTCGATAACTCATTTGTCACATCAGTGACTTCCAGATTATTATCATCGTCATCATGATTCCATTGTGTCAGACAGGTCGCGTCGTTTCGGTCTGCACTAGCATCCGTAGAGTGAAACTCTTCTATTGTTGTATAACTCATCTCGCTACATGAAAGAACAGCATTAGTGTCATAATCCAAAGCCGATAAACTCACTTGTTGTTCTCCATGTTCCGTTTCAGAGACACAAGACGTATGCACATCAATAGCATCGTTATCATGCAACACTGTAGACTGACTGTTACCATTAGACGCTTCCTTCTCATCATCACTTGACTGACAGTCAACCGAAGTAGGAACACTTACAGTTACACAACCTTGTGTATCCTCAATCAACTTAACATTCGCGACAAGGTCCGATGACGTCGAAACACTAGAAGGCTCGTTCGATGAAGTTGATCGGCTAGTCACTATAGGTGGACTGCTCACACTTTCTGTCTCTTTACTATCGCTGTCACTACTAAGATTCCGATGACTACTATTTCCATTGCTAGTCATAGCATCCGAGAGAGAATGATGTTTAGGCTTCTTAATAATAGTAGCATCATGTTGTTTCCTAGGCTTCTTAGCCTTTACAGTACCGCCATCACTTGTCCTAGAATCAACTCTAGGTCCCGTTATATAATTTACCCTAAGTGAAGGGTTCCGAACATAGGCTTTATTCCGTCCAGCCAATCCTGCCTTGGCCTTATTCATATTTACTGAACTCACTAACCTCTGTTTACTCGAATCCAAATAACCGTTCCAGGCTTTTCGAGCAGTTAAGAGGCTTTTATCATCACACACCTCGGATCCATCTTGATGCCTACACTTTTCGCCTTTTTCTTTCTTTTCCATACTTAAAAAAGTCATCTTATCTGTTACACAAACCGGCTTCTTACTGGGATACGCATCAAGAGGTTTTAAATCATCGCGGTCACATACTCGGCTTTCAATAGCGTATACTTTTCTGATATAATTGACAACTCTCTTATATTCCGGGTGTGAGTTAGGTGTAAACGAAGAATCCTCATGTCTCGCACGCAGATCACCAGTAGCTTCCGTATTATGTCCTGTTTTCGCGCGATTAGCTAATCTTCCGAACCTACTACTAGCTATCTTAGCACGAGACATAATAAATTCCGTCAATTCATTGAAATTAGGTTCTCTTTCCTCTTCGTCCCACTTGATTCCCAGCTCTGCCCACTGGGCTTGCATTCGATGAGGTAAGAGCCTAACTATTCGTTCTAAAGTAACCAGGGAATTAAGTTCCGTTGTACAATTTAACTGTTCTAAGGTTAGAGCCACATTCTGCATTTTAATCGCCAAATTCGTCAATAGTTCAGGATCATTATAATCTGCATTCCCGGTTCTAAACAAGTCCTCTAAGGTTTCACGGGCTATCACATGCGACTGCCGAAAGAGCTGTTTTAAGATGGCCTTAGCTGTCTTATATCCCGCTTGTGGATCCATTATAAGACAACCTTCAATCGCATTTTTTGCCTTTCCTTTACAATGTCAACTTTCATAACGAAACGTCACTTTGGTAATAATGATGATAACAGTAATAGTAGTGATAGTAGTAATTACGATATTAATAATAATAATAATATCTTCTTCATTAAATATAATACGTTTACTGTAATAAATAATTCTCAGCACAGAATAATTCAACAAGTTTCCTTTAAAAAACAATTAGTGATCGGCAGTTGAAAGTAAGCAGTCCAGGTATGGACATCTTATTAACGTTCTTTCTTTCCTCAATATATATGTCGCTACCAATGATCTTCACTTATTGCTTGGAAAGATAGGCAAATTTTAGTGATTAGAATCTTGTATATGCTCTGAAATACGGAAGATTTTTCAAGATAAAATCCAAAAAGCTTTCATACACTGAATGATTAACTTTCTGGATGCATAATTAAGGAATCAAAAACTTCCGGTCATGAATAGAAGTTCAGTCAGAAAATAGGATATAAGTCTAATATTATAGCTACATTTATCATAATATCATGTTTACTTATTCTACACAATGACTTTTTGAACATAACATCAATATATGTTAGTTTTAACAGAAAATACTTTATAAATTGCATCAGAATGGAGCCACTACAAATAGTGAGTGTGGAATTTCGAAACACTGGCTAATACATAAAGAGCGTAGTTGCACTGATAAACTTAGGTATTAATCTGTGTTCGATCAACAAAATTGAGTAACAGAACGAAAACTAAATTAACGTGATTACTTTATCGTGAAGTAGGTATTGTGCTGGTTAGAAACTTGTATAAATTCAGTAATTGCATTTAACACCTGTGTATGCATAAATAATAATTCATATAACTATAGCGTCGAAATACATGAAACAAAAAAAAATAATCTAAAGTACAAATATACAAAGTATTTGAACAAAAATTACTGATACAACATTCGTTATGACTAGACCAAAGTCATTACAATGATGTAGACAACTCTTGAACACTAGCAAGTTGATTCTGAAGCTTTAACCGTGCTTAGATTTCTAACTTTAAAATCTCATTGAGTTAACTATGTTTTTATGAACAGCATGTTAATACAATAGCAGTTCAAGTTGCTGTTCTGTTGCGAATTTCTTGATTCAAGTCGATCAGTTTAAGCAATTCAAATAATTTCTACCATATCTGAACAAAGATTGAAGGGATGGTAGTTTCCAGAACTAATTTCTAGACTGTTATTATTAAATGCATATTCTTATTGTATAATTACTAAGACGCTAGGTTAATCTTGTGGTGCTGTGTTGCGAACTACTTATAAGTAGTATATAGCGTGAGTGTCAACGTAAAGTCTGGTAGCATAATATGGGGGGAAGATCAAGAAAGGAAGAGTCAGAAAACAATGGAATTTGTATGAAACGCATGAAGAGTGACAATGGATTGATGTTTGGCAACAGGAACAGTCCAGTTCCATAGGATGAACTGATCTTTTGCAAATGAACGATTTACGATATGGTTTTCCGATTTTACTGACTAACTCTGTAATTTTCGTTAAATACAATTCGGTTGCCCCACCTGTGTTCTCATTCACTACATTTGGTGTCGCTGCCTGCTCGAAGGAAGGGGCTCCCGTGGCCGAAGGAGTTGCAGGACGGAGATTGGAGGAGCTTCCTGGAGGAGTTTGGGGCCACGGTGGAGCTGGTGGGGGCTTGGGGCGGAGTTGACGGTGCTGGGGACGCTGTGGGGAGGTGAGGCGAAGGCGGTGCACGACAGCCTGGACGGTGCCACCAAGGAGACGGCGTGGGAGACGGTCACCGGGCGGCTGATAATGGAGTTCGGCAGCCCAGCGGACAGGGAGGAGGCGCCGCAGAGGTTCCGGTTGGCGCGGCTGTCGGCCGATGGTGACCTGTTGGTGCTTGCTGTGGAGCTCACCGGATTGCGCCGTGAGGAGTGGACGGGGCACAGTCTTTGGCGTCGCAATTTATCGAGTGTGTGCCTGCCGCCGTGTTCCAGCATCGGGAACTTGTGGACGCTACACGTTGGATAGATGCCGTATCCATTCCAGACCAGTGATCAAGAACGATGACCGAAGTGGTAATCCGGCATAGTGTAGCGTGTCACGGAATACGGAAGGTGATATTAACTGACCAGGAGCTCTGTTTTGAAGGACCACGACGACAGCTTATTAAAAGGGGGGACGAGTGTGGTGCTGTGTTGCGAACTACTTATAAGTAGTATATAGCGTGAGTGTCAACGTAAAGTCTGGTAGCATAATATGGGGGGAAGATCAAGAAAGGAAGAGTCAGAAAACAATGGAATTTGTATGAAACGCATGAAGAGTGACAATGGATTGATGTTTGGCAACAGGAACAGTCCAGTTCCATAGGATGAACTGATCTTTTGCAAATGAACGATTTACGATATGGTTTTCCGATTTTACTGACTAACTCTGTAATTTTCGTTAAATACAATTCGGTTGCCCCACCTGTGTTCTCATTCACTACAATCTGTTGTCATAAACGTTTGGTTAATCCATTAACTGCCGTTGTACTATCTACTGTTCTTATATGTTACCAGTTTATTATTTACAGTTTCCTCTACTCGCGACCATTTTGGCTCGTTCATGTGATTGTTATTTTATATTTTATGATGTGATGCGATCTAGTGTACTTGTACGTAAACTGTATCTGTTTGAAGTACAGGTCATTTGCTGATTTTTGGGTTCAGTGACATGGCATAAATAGAAGCTTGTGAATCTTGTACCAATAGGAACTTAGCTGCTGACTCAAGGTTAATACTGCTGGTGTCAAACGTGTTCAGATACATCGTAGACTGCATCGACCTTGATTAGTAAGTAAAGCAATTGTACAGCGTTTAAACCGCTGATTTAGAGAAAGATTACATTAACTACACGTTCAATTAAACTACTCGTTATTTATTTGGTTGAAGTCTTAAATCCCATTTTAGTCTAATCTAGGAAGATATTCACGTTATCTCAAGTATTACTAGAATGCAGAATACATTTATAGTATTTATTTTCGCTGAAGAAGTGACTTGCATTGAATCACGACACTCTAGAAAAAGCAATTTCTGCTCATTGGAATATCAACAAAAATTATAATTATTTTATTGTCGGTAACTGTAGTTTTCTTGTTTTCGTTTCGTTATGTTAACGTTACATTTGAATGTAAAACAATTAATTTGAATGAAAACATATATATTATAAGGACTTTTTTATCCTTGAACTATTTCAGATACTCGTACACTTGGTTACCGCTTATTTGAAGATATTTTAAAACGCAGAGATAGGGGTGATTCGATTAAAAATGCTATATCTGTTATGCAACGTTATCAGTTCCTTTTCAATCTGCCGCATGCTATTAGAACTAATATATCCAAAGTAAGACATTATACGCACTCTTTAGCTTTTCAAATAAATGAGGGGGGAGGTACTCCTTCTAACAGTGTCCTTCATACTTTAGTTGGTTAAGCAAACATACTTTTACACTCACGTCCGAATCAAATTTTTTATGATGATATCTAATCACTCAATCGAACGTACGGTAAGGTAGTGTTCGAACACTGAGTTCAGAGGTTGATTGTCAAAAATTTTGACCTCTAATGATTCATTACTCTATTCGAAGGCGTGTTTTAAAATCTTAGTGTTTAAAAGAGTGATTTATTTTGATGAATATCCAGCAGAAAGAAAAATACTTTTTTCGTTTATCTTGTGGACCATGTTTTATTGAACCCACAAAGCATGCTTTTCTCAAACACACTCGAGCACTAACTAAGTATCTAAGGCTGTATTCAAATTAATCAGCAGTGTCATTGTTGGACATCTGATTATTCTGGTCATTCATTTCTACCAAAATCTTCACTCAACAGTATCCATGATGTTCGATAAAATGGTACTTTTTAGAGCAAGTTACATAAGAAATTTGTGTATGACAGAAGCTTGGGGGGTTAAATTCAAGTCTGCTCTTTGTGTTCAGGAGTAATATTTCCAACTCCTTATTTTACTATCGTCCTTACACTTGATGTTGTAAGTTGTTTTTGATATTTGTACGTCTCTTCTATGTCTTCTTAGTATTCCCCAAGTGGACAATCATCTTTCATATCTGGGTAGGGACGGCAAATCAATAGATGAAGTAGTGAAACTTCATCATTTGAGGTAGTTGGCACATGTGGTACGTATGGCTAACCACCGACTGCCGCGACGAGCTATGTTTTGCAGTGTAGGAGTAGGTTGGAAGAAAGCTAGGGGCGGCCGGACCAAAACACGGCACAAATGCATGAAGTCACTGACAAGTGGACTGAGTCATGTTGGTAGATGTAGGTTACCTGGATGGGGTCCGCGAGACGATAGTTGCCGATGGTTAGAGACCCTCAATGACATGACTCTTCGCTCCCTAATCTCCATTACTGCTAATACTTCTATTATTGCTATCACTCTTGGATTTGAACTGATTGTTGCGTCTGTGTTGATGCGGTATGGCAACGTGAACTGATGTACTTACGTACGAAGTTCTGCGTTGTATCTGTCTGTCTGTCTGTCTGTCATATCTTTCTTCTATGTCATTTTTATTTTATCGGGTTTTTATCGCTCTTCGACTGTCACACAACTTGTATATTCGGAATGTTCAATTTTCACCTTTTTGGTAACTGTTAATAATCATGCATTGATTTCCGATTTCCCTGTAGATTATTGTGTGCAAAATTATCCCCATTGAACTATGTTTACATCTAGATTAACGACAATCATTTTTTTCCCATTTTAAAATTTCTTGTTAGCATTTTAATATCACTATATTTTATTTTGTTTACTGATTGCTAACTCATGTTAAACCCCTATGCCTTTCAAAAAAGTAATACATTAAAGAGGGTTGTATTATAATGCCAATGAAATTCATTCATTCAAATTTTCTTCGATCTTTTTTGAACTATTTGTCCAGTGTTTAGATTTTTATTTCCTGTTTTTATTGTTTTTATTCTTATTCTACAGCGTTTATCTCTAGTCTACTAGATTGTTTGTTATATTTTCTGAAATAATCTAGTGTATGCGAATGTAGGTTGATGCACATCCCTGAGTTCACATTACATCTGAACAAATTCATGTATTAATGTAGATTATTCGAGTTTCGATTGGCTCAGTCTCAAATTCTGAATGTTTTAATTTCATATACTGATTAACTTTCTAATAATAGAGTATTTTCTTTAAGGCTTTTTTTTACAAGAAAATATTATTATTATTATCTTACCATGTGTTTTCTTTTTTCTCTCTATTCCATGTTATTGTAGGGTGATTATAATTTGGTATTAAATGATTACTTACGTGCAAAATCATTATTCTCCAGTTCAGATGCTGAGGTTCTACGCCGTAGTAAGTTTAAATCAATCGTAGAATGTTGTTGATTGATATCAGTCAGGTCGGTATAATGTTTATTTGCTTACAGAAAATGATTTTACTGTGAATTTTGCTACATAAGTACAATGTTTGTACAGGGTTTGTCGAGTGTTGTAGTATAGGAGTGGGGTGATACGTTTACTTCGTTATAAGCTAATTGATTGGTTCAAGTGCTTATCAAAAGTTGGTTTTTCTGACTTACATGGTGTTCTAAGCATATAATTCTGTTGACTGTATTGAAAAACTGTCACTATTCAAAACTAGGTATATCGCTCCAAATAATTTTCGAATGCTTAGTTTTCTGTTCTGATGAACACAGTCCAAATTTGTACTGTACTGAAGTTCCCTTTTTAGTCTAGTTCGTACTTCGTTCATTTTATAGTTATAATTCAGTATATTATTTAGTAGCACATATAATAATTATTGAGGTAGCTATACATCAAATGTAATAGAGGTTGATGTTTCCCTCGTCTGAGTTTTCAGGAGTAGACCTATTACCAGGAGGCTCGCTTATCGACTTAGAATATGCCGATGACATTGTCCTACTTGGTGAAGACGCTGACAAAATGCGGAGTCTTCTGACTACGCTAAGCAACAATGCAAGCATGTTCGGGATGCGGTTTTCCCCCTCGAAATGAAAAATGTTGCTTCAAGATTGGGTTTCATCGGCACCTGAACTAGTGATAGGGAGTGAAGTAGTCGAACGTGTAGACCGCTCCACTTACCTGGGGAGTCTCATCAGTGCTGATGGCCTGGTGACTGACGAAATCTCGGCACGGATACAGAAGGCTCGATTGGCTTTTGCCAACCTGCGTCACTTATGGCGCAAGCGAGATATCCGTTTGCTGACTAAAGGACGAGTGTACTGTGCAGCAGTTCGCTCCGTCCTACTGTACGGATGCGAGACTTGGCCGCTAAGAGTAGAGGAATTCCGTAGATTACTTATCTTCGACCATCGATGTCTCATTGCATTGCTCGCGTATCGTGGGACAACCGTATAAGCAATGCTGTCGTTAGGAAACGAGTTCTAGGTAGGGATGGCAAATCGATAGATGAAGTAGTGAAACTTCATCAGTTGAGGTGGTTGGCACATATGGTACGTATGGCTAACCACCGACCGCCGCGACGAGCTGTGTTTTGCAGTGTAGGAGTAGGTTGGAAGAAAGCTAGGGGCGGCCGGACCAAAACACGGCACAAATGCATGAAGTCACTGACAAGTGGACTGAGTCATGTTGGTAGATGTAGGTTACCTGGATGGGGTCCGCGAGACGATAGTTGCCGATAGTTAGAGACCCTGAATGACATGACTCAAAACCGTTTGCAATGGCGCAAGTGCATCCACTCTTTGTGTTCTATGAAATTCTATGCTTCTGCATTCCTCATAATCTCTACCTTTCTCCTTCTAAATTTATCCCACTGAATTATACTTATCGAATCATATCTTCGCTCCCTAATCTCCATTACTGCTAATACTTCTATTATTGCTATCACTCTTGGATTTGAACTGATTGTTGCGTCTGTGTTGATGCGGTATGGCAACGTGAACTGATGTACTTACGTACGAAGTTCTGCGTTGTATCTGTCTGTCTGGTTGATGTTTCGGTACGGCGAATCGATTGGTGATAGTCCTATGTACACCATCAGATATTGGCTCAGTGATCTAAAGGTTTACCGCTAACTTAATGGTAGTTTAAATGAGATCAGTCTGTGATGCACACTCTGAAAGTAACTGAATTCACTATTAGCGTTGGAGCCAACTCTCGGTCTACGGTAAATTTTCTTGTGTTATTTTATTAGTCACTTATTCTTCAAAACTCATTGTAGACGTAGCGAGAAATATAAATCAAAAAACCGTTTAATTGTTAAGTAGACAAAATAGTATGACATATCGGTTAATTATTGTTTCGTCGGTTAAACAATTTGACTAGACAGTGAGAGATTCCCATCTTCGATTCCCATGAAATGAAAGCCATGATTACTGCATCCACTTTTTTACTCCTAGTCACCACAAAGCATATCTCTTCTCATAGGATTTAATTAAATGACCAAGGAAGACGGAACTAAACAACGGTCTTTTGCGTGTATAATTATGTTTATCCTACTTTCAATAGTAGAACAGCATGTTACCTTCTTTTTTAAACAAATAGACAAGGAAAAATGATCTTTTTACTGGTGTAAACCGAAGTTCGAATTCCCAAAAAAGTAAATGACGAAATGGTTTAGGGAAATTCAATGTCATTGTTTACACTTATTGATTCCATAATGTTAACTGTAACCCATAAATGGAAGGAGAAAATGGATCTCTCTCCTATCTCACTTAAAGCTAGAGTTGCGACTTAAAAACTGTTTTCATTTTCGGTAAAATTTTAAGATATTTTAATAATTTATCAAGTCATTTTTCATAGAAAACAACGAGATGACTTTTTACTTTAGAAAATCTATGCTCTTATTTTCCTAGTTTATAATGATGTCGAAACCGTAGTCGCTAATTTCTCTGTTATGCTTCGTAATCAATTAATTTCTATGCCAATTGATTGTGATGATGCAAGACATAAAATTGGGTAAGTTAAATTATTGTTTTTTTGTTTCAATGCAATAGAATTTCGAAAAATTTGATCCAATATGACTTAGTCAACATGGCGAAGCAAAACTATTGTTTATTTTGATATTCATCATAAATATCATATATTTGGTTAGTTTATGATTTGGAGCCGTGGTATGAACGAAGTCTCCCAAGGTAGAGCACCTCTCGGTTTATCACAACTCCTTAGTTGGTATCCTATAGATTATACAGCTGAATGGCTTGAGATGATATCGAGAACATAATTCAGAACAGAAACCAAATGGTTCTTCCCAAACTGTTCATAAATGCTTAATGAACTCCGTTAACTGAAAGAATTATTCCTGGTTGTTCTTTTGAACCGAATAGTTTCTTCTGCTAAAAACTATTATTATTCACCAATTTTTCTAGTAAATCATTTTTGATCATATTCCCATTCTATATTTTTTAGCGATTTCATGTTCCTATTTGGGTACTGAATGTCTATTTTGGTGCCCATTTGTAGCGACATACGTGTTTTCAACAAACGGAATAATTAAACAAATCAGTAGAACATTAATAAATTAATTTGATTAGTCTTGTATAGGGTTTTTAGAAGGTGATCAACAGTGTTACTATGTTGGTAACAGAGTTTGTAAAATAGTCATCCTACTTTGAGATGATGAACATCAATTAGCAGTCAAACGCCACGACAACGCTTCGCTTATCTCAATACATACCGACAATTATGGGCACACATTTGATTGGAACAACGTGGAAATACTGGGTAGGGGGAGGACGAAAAACACTAGAGAATTTTTAGAAGCTTGGCACTCAGGCCAATCAGCAATCAACAAACACATCGACATTGACTCAATCTATCAACCAATCAGAAAAATCATAGAATCAAGAAACAGATCAAAAGGGGGTTGCAATCAAAACAAAGTTGCAAACAACGACAGGTTTAAGCTCAACAGCAACCAATCAAGATCGAGGTTAGCAGAACAAGCTACAGGTCAAACGTGGAGAAATTCGAATGCTTCACTTCTATCTGAAGTTTGTGCTGATGATGTTGTTCAGAAGAACAATGAAAGCTCCACAATCAACACAACCAGCTCAGAGAACAAAACACCACCACAGTCATTCTCCTTGGTTAGCGACCCTTTTGTTACCTAGTAAATTTTAGTTTATTTTACCAACATACAGATAATTTCTATGCACAATTTACTATCAGATTCTGCTAGACAGCTGGATTGAGTTGTGTTGGTAGGTGTAGACTACCTGATCGGGTCCTGCGAGATGATTGTAATGGATAGTTAGAGACCCTGAATGATATGACTGAAAATCGTTTGCAATGGCGCAAGTGCATTCATTCTTTGTGTTCTCTCAAATCCTAACCGTCGGAGTTCCCCATCACTTTTGTCTTTCTCTTTTCATGTTTATTTCACTAGTTTCTACTTCTTGAATAATATCGTCAAACCCTAATCTCTCCGATTACTGCTAATACTTCTACTAACTCTACTACTATGGGATTTGAAGTGACAATTACATCTCTGTGCTAATGTGGTACTGTAACTTGAACTGATGTACGTGCGCACAAAGTTTTATGTTGTAACCGGCTATTGATTGACATAAAATTGATAAATGTGGTGCACTATGATGACTAAGAACTACCAGTTTGTAGTTGTCTCGAAAAGTGCGTAATGCAATCAATGCATTTGCCCTTTTGATAAAATATATACGGTGCTATTCTAAAGGTGTCCTACATCATAAGCATATATTACTTCAAGAAACGTTGGAAGCTTGGAGGCACTAGTAAGTTTTCTCGTTTTGTTCTAGTGCCTCTTTATAAGGTGGGTCCAGGATCGTACATACTGGGTCGAACGAATTATCTTGGAATTTTGTAATTTATACGATCCTTTTACACTAAGTGGAAATTCATCATCTCATATTTTACTACTAACAATCAGCATATGCTTATTAATGACTACTTGCAATTTGGATTTCCTTCCATTTTTACTGGGAAAGTGTGACCTGTGGAATTAAACAAGTGTAGAACATCAACTTACTGATGACATTGAGTGTGAGTCATTGTACTGTATTAAAAATCGTGTAGAGTTGAAGAATTAGAGCACATGGTTCCGACTCGATGCCCTGAACGTATCATGTTTTACTGAAGAAGTGAAGCTTCAGCGGAGTGCCAAACCAAGATGACATAGTTGTACATTGTTCCTTGTCTTTCAACAGCTTTCAGTGAATTTTTTTGGATCGAAAACCACTTCCGTTACTCGAAGTATTCATACAATTACCTTAATAAGAATATGTTGTTCAAAATTTTGTCGGTATCTTCTGAATACTATTTTGTAGATATCTAACACAATTAGAGGTGGATTATGATCCTGGTTGGTTATGTTTGACATACTTCAAAGATTGGCTGATCGATCAACTACGTAATTACCAACGTATATCTCATCAAAATATGGTCGAGGGAAATTCAGCGAGAAACAAGCATTCTGATGGTTCCAATCCGATTGTTAATCTTCTCCTAATGGATAATAAATCGTCGGTAATGAATCCTGATTCATCTGTCTTGTTTGCTGAAGGTTAGTAGGTTTTCTCTCGTATGAGATGGTGAATCATCATCGTATACATACATCTTTACAGAAAGTCATATTGTTGATCGGAATAGTTTATTTATAACAGTGAATGTTAATGTTCAGTCTCTCATTTTTCTAGACGTCCAACTAATGTTATGATCTGTATAATTTCATCTCTTAAGATCATGAATATGTTGACGTTGTGCTCTACAGAAGTTTCACTAATTTATAAGATATTGGTATTGGGTTATGGATGCTGTTGAATTTTTTCTATGATCATGAATCAATCTAAGTTAGGCTTACTGTACTAGAGGTTAAGCGTTCGCAGTAGGTCCTGGGCTCGACTACCGGTTGCGTAGGAACCTCATGAAAGGATGAGGTGACCGTCCAATATTTCTAGGTTTCCAACGTAGATCGGTTTGTCATCCTATTAAAAATAAGGAAGTATTTCGTCCTCTATACAGACGGTGTTTAGCCAACTTCTGTTATGATTACAATTTCACTCAATACAGCACTTTCTTTGCTATCCATTAAGCGGAATTTTGTCATTCATTGAGCAGAGAATCTTAATTAATTAGCATAGATGGATGATGGCGCGTTTCATTTCATCAAGGACTCACCATGTGCATGCACATGTATCCTTGATTTGATATTCAATCCAGGACTCGAACACAGTACTTTTCGCTTCAAGTGCCAAACAGGATGAGCATATACCGAAGTGACTGATCAATTGTAGCCGTAAACACTAAGTGGAGGATTCAAACAACCAATAGAAATGAATTAGAGAATCTTAATCTTTGGATATTATTAGCTTCATATGATTTAGTGATAAATAATCTTGAGATGAATGCCTCTCAATTTTCCATCAACTATACAAATCGATAAAGTTTGATGTATTTCAAATTCTACCGTGAAGTTAATATTGTGGTAGGCTTAAGAAAGACAGATTTGTGACAAATGAAAAATATTTCACTTTTTTTAATTGAAAAAAATGTCTGCGATAATTATTTTCTAGATTTTATGTGAAAGTTTTAGTTATTGCTGGTTCTAGTGTAGTTGTGATTACTATATCATCAACTTAGTGTTATGTAATTTTGTTTGGCTTAAACAGAATGACTTTCGTGTGTACATAAGCAGTAAATGCTTTGAATGAATTCTAGACAATTGTTTAATTTTTCTATATTGATGATTAATCGTTATAACTATTGGAAATACATTAATAAATAACAATAACAAATAATCTGATAATTTATAAATTTTGATAGATAGATAGATAGATAGTGTTTTTACATCTGATATTTAGCTGATAGTATTTGGTCATCAGTATCATTTAAATTTACTTTAAGAAAACATGTAATATCACATTGCTATTGTCAATAAAGGTAGTCTATCGTAAATTGTATCATTTTTCTTTACGTATTTGGTTTAACAGATGAAAGTTAAATGTTGTAGATAACAAGTTAAACTTTGTAATTAAATGAACTTGCTACTAGTTTATAGGATTCTAGTTTTTAACTTGTCGTTATCTCTTTATCAATCGTAGTGTTGGCTGTTTAGTTGAAAATGATTTATTAAACTATGTTGTCCGATTAGGTTAAACTTACACGTTTCTGACTTGTGACATTAGTGGTTTAGATGTAGTTGAGTTTTCTTTTTAAGATGAAAAGGTAAATATTTATTAGAACTTATCACTTATGAAGTATTATATACATTTCTATATACCGAAAATTACATTGAGTGCATTTGTAAATTATTCAACAAATGAACATGAAATTCACCTTTAATTGTAATTTAGAATTTTACGGTGTCCCACCGATGGTTGGCATGGTCAAAGCAGTATGTCGTCTGCTTACTACACATGTTACTCAATTTTGGCGTTTGGGTACAGCTTATATATCTGGGCAGTTGAATTATAACAATCAAGTTGGTTTTAAAATACTCATTCAACAATGTTTCATACTTTACTGTAACATGATATAAAAAAGTATAGAAAGTAGTTTTGTTATTATTGTTATTAACTAATTGTATTTTGGAATTAATTTAGATTTTAGTTAGTCATTTGTTTGCAAAAAGAAAGCAAATTATTCGGATTAGATCTTGTGAGCAATCGTCATATTTGTTTATGTAACAGAAATAAGAAGGTTAATATTTAAAATGCCGGTAAATTTAGCTTATTATTATAATAGAAAGCATACATTCACTGAAGTTAGAATTATTATACGTAAATCTATCCCGGTTAACGTAATAATGGTTGGAGAATGCTAAGCTTTCAGCCATTATGTCGTGCCAATGAAGTACAATCATCCTACTTTAGTTTGGTCAAGTGTAAGATGGATAGATATTTTTAGTATTGGATTCAGTGGAGCAAGACTCATGAACATGTACGTCATAAGTAACTTGATTTATTATTGTTTTTATCATCATAATATTAGATTAAGGAAAATATCTTTGGTTTTTTTTTGTACAGAAATCTTATGAAAAACTTGTTCACGCCTCGTCAACAAATGATCCGAAAACTGCATGGCTGGTAGTTTATGAAATTTTATTACATCTCTCTCTATATATGTATATATATACATTTCTGTATAAGTTTTTGTTAACATTGTTCATATCTTTTGAGTATCGTTGGTGAAGTATCTCTCATATCATTATTAATCGTAATAGTATCACTTTACAATGAGTATTTTGTTTCTGAAGGAAACGGAATTCTCTGCTTCTCTATGAATTTATGATTATGATGTTCTCAACAATTCTGAAGCGGATCTTTCCTATGAAGTTTGATGGTCGGAACGTTTAGTTTTCATATTATATTTAAAAGTGATATTCGTCGTAACTATTTATGCAACTTCGTTTAATTGAATGTGTCTCCAGTAAATATCTCCTTAATATGGTTCATTTGCCAAGTACAACTTCCTGTCCTTCGTTTCGAGCTTCACTTCTTGTGTGGCGGCTAGTGATTCTATGCAGTTGCTCGTATCGAAGTAACTGTTGTGGAGTCGGTTCATTCAGATCTCAAGTTTTAATATTCCTTCCTTCATACACAACTTATCATTCTTTCCTGTTTAGTCTTTCCCATTCTCATAGCTACTGTGATTATTTCCACTTTTTTCTATGTTATTTCATTGTTCTACTATATGGAAACTTGGACTAATGTACGTTTACATCAGTTTCCACATTGACTGAATGACTGACTGGCTGTTTCGTAAAAAATGTTCTCGTTCTACTGCTTGCACATAGTAAATATTTTATCATATTTCATTTTTAAATATCCTTTTCTCTGTGTCAGTCTTGGCTTTTATTTTGAATATTTAATTCAGCAAATCAATTTGGAACTAGTACACGCTGTATCAAACCATATGCGTGATATTGTTCTTGAAGCTTTCAGCAATACAACTAATGAAACTTTACTAACGGATCATTTATTAGAGTGTATAAGAGAATACAGGTGGGTTGGTTGTATGTAATTGTGTTTAATTATTATAATTATGGTATTAATAACTAATTAAAATTCTGTTTGTTTTGTGTCTAACTTGTTTTACAGTAGGATACACAATCTTAAAATAGAACGGAAGTGTACATGGTCTTATAGTCAGTGTACCAATATGTCGAACCCGCGAGGCTTGTATCAGCCTTTCGACAGTTCTCCTCGAGTTATTCACATATCTTTCGACCTTGTCAATCACTCGTTTATATTCTTAGTTGTTCTTATTCAGTGTGTGTGTGTGTGTGTGCATGTATGCTTGCTTCGCTTATCGTATGTTTGGCTTATATTTGTATGATATACGGAAATAGAAGTGATGATTTATTTCACTGCATACTCGACCGTTCACGCAAACTGGAGTCAGATTGTGGGTCACTGAAGTGGCAAGCCCTACTTCAAATGCAACGCAGCGACCAAAAGCTCATCACTTAATCTATACCACAAAGCCGTTATAATTAAGATTTTTGATTAAAACAATTTGTTTTAACTAATGACTATATATAAGTATAGCTATAGCTGTTCTTGTGATTGGTTTTTTCCTGGGCTCTCAGAAACCATTTCGATTCTTATTGAACTTCTTCCTTGAAACCATGCAAAAGACAACTATCATCTTAGGGTTGTCACACAGTTTACTTTATCATACCATTCATTAAAATATTTTTAAAATTTTCTGATCATTTCATGTATTTAAGACAGCTGTTTTAATCGGTATTTATTATGAATTTTCATATAATCAGTTTCCAAAGTTTTTTTAGAATAGTATGTTTCTTTGACGTGAATATTTGTACTTAACTTAATCTACAACCATCACTTTTAATTAGTTAGTATTTAATCACATAAAAAATTTAATGCATAATGCTGATGTTGATCTTAGTTAAAATTGTTTTATTAAAGCAAAGTTATAAGTGATCTCTCAATTTATTTTGTGTTCACAACTCATGAATACGGTTAATCATGTCCAGGTACATGCATCGGCTTTTAGATCACATTTAATATTGAAATTTTTATTAAGTTGACCACAATAATTCAATAGATATATGATATGAGGGTTATTGATAATTTACGTACTTACGTACGAAGTTCTACGTTGCATCTGACTGACTGCTGACTGTACCTAGTTGCAGAAACTCTAACTGGTTTGCAGTACTTACTGATTTAGGGACAATCGATTGAGCTACTCTAGAGCGATCGGTTTCCTTCGTAATAGGCAACGCCAATTTACGCAAAACACATCAACATCTGACGGCTAGCGCAGTAAGAATAACTGGATATTCGAGATTGGTGGAATTCCGCATATATAATAACAAGAAATGACCTTTAAGCATACGGAAATTTAGTGAACTAAAAGCAATCAATCATAAGAATAGCCAGTGATGTGCTAAAAATTGTTTTAGGAATAAGGCAGTGGTGGTTATTGTTTCTGAAGCGCTTGCAAAATTGATAGTAAAATTTGAGTGTTCCTGTGGTTTCCTTGGTTATGGTCCTCGCACCTAACTCGTAACTGGTGGTCGGTGATATTCAACGACATTAGTTAAGATTGTTCTCAATCACTCGTGTACTTTTCATATCATCCTCTAATGATACTGTTATTACAACTGTGGTGTGTGCTACTTACGATGAGGCTTATAATTAGTACGCAGTGGACATGCAACAAAGTATCGCCCCGAAGTTACTATCGAAGAGTGTCGTATCCCGATGCATGGCGTGATCAGAATGTCTTAAGGAACTGAAGACATATCGAAGAAAATAGCCAAGGATACACTCGTTTTGAGAATGGATGTTTTATGATATGTACACCTATTGGCCGGTAGATCGTATCTTAAATCAAATTAATTATCCAATGTGATCTTTCTCACCCGTTCATTTTATCGGCACCTAAACTAGTGATACGGAGTGATGCAGTTTGGCGTGTTGATTGCTTCACTTATCTTGGGAGTCTCATCAGCGATGATGGCCTGGTGACTAACGAAATCTTAGCATGGATACAGTAGGCTCGATTAGCTTTCGGCAACTTGCGTCACTTATGGCGTAAGCGAGATATTCGTTTTCTGACTGAAGGACGAGTGTACTGCGCAGTAGTTCGTTCGTTCATAGATGTCTCTGAAGCATTGCTCGTGTATCATGAGACAACCGAGTAAGCCACGCTGTTGTTAGGAAACGGGTGCTAGGTATGTATGACAATTAATATATGAAGTATTGAGACTTCATCAGTTGAGATGGTTGGAACATGTGTCACTTATACGCGACCACCGACTGCATTGACGAGATATTTTTTGTGGTATAGGAATAGGTTGGAAGAAAGCTCTGGGCGGCCGGACCAAAACATGGCAGATATCCATAAAGTCATTGACAAGTGGACTGAGTCATGTTAGTAGATGTCGACTACCTGACTTGGGCACGCGAGATGATAGTAATCGATGCTTAGATACCCTGAATGACATGACTCAAAACCGTTTACAATGGCGCGGGTGCATTCATTCTTTTTGTTCTCTCAAATCCTACTATTTTTGGATTTAAATTGACAATTGCGTATCTGCACTGTGGTATTTCAATTTGGACTGATGTACGTATGTACGAAATTCTGCGTTGCTGACGACTAACTGAAACTACTACAACTACAACCATCACTATCACTACTAATGTTACTGCTACTCCTACTAGTCTTACGACTTCTACTTTAGTGGTATTTACCTTGATAATTTTTTGTGTTAATCTAGTTTGGCAGCTTAATCTAATGCACACATGTGCCAGCTCCTTCGTTTCTTTTAACTAACTTTAATGATTGGTTTTATATTGTTATATTTTTATATAGTACAATTTCATTCTTTTTGATAGTAATCACTCGTGAATAAGATTGGTGTGTGCAATTAGTTTTTAGTTTTGTGAGAACATTGATTTAAACTAAGAGATTTAATTTTTTCCTTTGCAATGCTGTATTTTATTATTGCATTGTAGCTCTATTTTCTCACGATTTTATTTGCATGATTCCGTTTATTCTCACAGTATGAACTTCAAAATTGAACGTTCCTTCTTTCGTGGGAAAATGAAATAGATCTAATTGTCACGTGAAATATAAATCTTGTGCATTGCTTAATAACATATTTGGTCGTTGTATTTCCTCACCTATATTACATATGATCTTCAGTTTATACTTCAGTAATAAAGACGAGAATATCCCAGACATAAAATTATCAGTCTTTCGTATGTGAGGGTGCAGATTCAAAACTCAGTTTACGAGTTTAATCGCAAGCTTTAACGTGGTTGATACTTTAATACCATGGTTACGCTTACCCATCAGAAACGGTCCATATTGTTTTGGGCACTTGTTTCTTAAAATTACAGCTGTTTGGTGAATGCAGCATAAAAATATAATATACCACAGTTAGTACAGAAATGTGGAGCTGCCGCTATTCAGTACCTACGGGTTTTTGATGAGAGTTTAACTAAGGCGAAACCATTTTGTAAACTATGAAATTAAATAGTTTCCACCAACCCTTAATACTCATAGTATACATATATTAGATGGTAATTAATTTCATGGTAAATACGTGTTATTTATTCCGTTTATAAACTCATTTCTTGCATTTATTCTTCCATATATTCTTAGACAATGTTGTAGTTCATTGCCATTGTCAGAGATGTCATCTGAAATCTGTGATATATTTGCTAAACTTGCTTATGATCTACGTAAGCTCGCTGTTCGTGGAATATTTCTTCGTGCTCAACTTAGTAAGTTATTGATATCCTAACTTCATTAAAAAAAATACTATGAAATTAAATTTTTGAAAAATTCTTAGATTAAAATTTAATAAATTTAATGCTTTACATGCAATTCTGACCTAAATTTACCACTACCCCTTAGTTTTTCTTTCTCTCTCTCTCTCTCTCTCTCTCTCTCTATATATATATATATATATATATATATATATATATATATATAGAAACTTAACATCCAGATTTTGTTTATTTGAGTAAAATAACCACGTCTCTCACAGGTAAAATAAAAGATTTTCCTTCTCAACGATGCCATTAACTACATTATATTATAATATTGTCTTCATAATTACATTATAATACATAGTAATCTATAGACAGTGGTTATGTCATAAGGATTTGGTATCGAAAGTTTATTTTCTATTCCCATTATGAACTATTATGTGTAAAATTAATAACTAAAGATTAAGCGTTCTCGTGCGAGATCGAAGTTCCTGAATTCGATTCTGGTGAACGTGGGTCGTGGATGCGCACTTTAGAATAGTTACATACTAGGACGAAATGGCTGTCCAGTGCTTCCAGGTTGTTAATGGTCGTCTATCAATGATTGATTCATGATTCCATTATAAAACAACAATCTTCATGAGAGAAGGAAAAATGTTTTATTTATCGTTTTCTAAATCAAATAAATCAGTTAGTTTCTTGCATTGTCTTCCACTTACTCGACACCCAGTTCTCTGTACAAATATGAATGCGAATGGATCTCAGGAAAACAGTTATGGTTTAAATTCCTGTTCAAGGAGGCTGTATGAATTCAAGGAAACCAGTGTTCAGTGAGCAGAACACTACTACACTACTAATACTACTACATAAAATAATTACTTTTCCTTTATATAATGTAATAGTCATTTTTTGTCATGATTCGTCATGATCATTTTTCAATTTTTTTTTGATGATAAATTTTAGGTATTGAAACATTACAAATTAAAGAAAGATGGGATGTGGATTTAACTGATGCTGATGGTGGAATCACAAAACTTGTGTGTCTTTTTTTTACTTTCTATTTCGTTTTGAAAAAAAAAACAATTTGACAAACAGTCTACTTTAATTGAGCAATGTTATGATTGATTGGTCATCGCAACAATCGTAGCTAGTATTATACTGTGTTTCATCAAATTCTATCGATCACTAATGTAAATTCATATCTCATGCGAGACAGAGGGGTGGGGACGTTGGCATATGCAAGATTGTGGATAAATTCTGTTGATTAGTATCAACTAACATAAGTACTAAATACAAGGCCTCCTGCTGATTGACTCTTACCAGTGAACATCAAATACATAGTGGATCATTTTTAGCCTTTAGGCTTATAAAATTTATGTTAAGATAATTAAGATGTATTATTTATTTAAAAAATTATTTGTTCAGTGAACCTGAACTAAATATGCACTGTTTGCTTTAAGATTAGGTTAATTTTTTCCCCTGAACGTGTTAATGTTAAGGTATTATAACCTCATGCTTGGCATACATTGTCCGTGTCATATTGACTTAAATCTAAGTATCGTTTGAATAAACTAAATTGTACTAAGTCTATTTGGACATGATATTTTAAAATTGATGCGAAATTCGATTCATACCTATCGATCTTAAAGTAATAATAGTTCTAATTGTGGCATTATTTCATAAATTTTTGTTAACTGTAAAATAATAACGTTGATCAATTGAATACTTGGATCAGTATCGTATGTGCCGAGTCTTTGATGCTAAATTATATCTGCCAAGATGCTATGTTCTCACTAGTATAGGTGACTTTCAATTTTTATCAATGCTAAGTGGTTGGAGGTAGCGACCCAGGAAACGATAGTTGTCAGTAAAACATACTTAGAATCTTATAGGAATTTTTACTCTATGTGAGACTCGAACTCACAACCTCTAGATTTAGATTTCGACCCGTTATTTGGGTCTGTAGTTTTTCTTTCTGACTACTCTGAACTACTTAACATTGATTAATTATATTTTACAATATATGTTCTGAAGTGTTTTCCTTTTTCTTTAAAGCCTTTGTTATATGAAGATATTATTGCTGACTCATTCATTCTCTGTGAAGATCAAGTATTTCCGAGAACATCAATAGAAAAACCAGTAAGTACAGATACCTATTTAATGCAAATCTACTAACTAAATGTGTAATATTTCTTTTTTATAAGCCGATTTCTACAGTATTTATTTCACTAAGAATAATTCTCTAGAAAATCGGGATTACACTTTGTTAGTTTGTTGTTTTCTATTTTCGGATTCGATTCTTATAGTTTCTTTTTTCACTTAGATTGAAAATTATTATCGACCTAAGTGCTTACACTTTAATTGATTCGGTCCCAATTAGGACGAAAGACGCATCTTGGATTTCACTGCTCTAATAACAATCAACCTATTATGTATATCCTGTAAAAAATGGTTATATTGAGGCGATCTCCACAAGTTGCACATTCACTAAAAAACTGATCAAAATTCAGCCGTGATTATCGACAACTGGGGAAGCCCAAACACTTATCACAACATTTAATTGCTTGGCTTTCACCAAAAAACATCTGTTCGGATTGATCAGGTCAAAAAAGTCTAAGTTCTTGTCAGTGATAATGAACTCTATATAGATTATATCTTTTAGTCTTCAGTTTGTACATGAGTGTAAAGGCATTATATTGAAATGCTGTATTACGTGGGAACAACTGGAAAGAAGAACCCAGAACAGTTGGTTGGATAATTCTGGTGGGCGGCCTACGTTCCATGAGGAGGAGTAACGGGCTTAATTGCATCATTCGGATGCATAACATACCACACTACTGATTATCTTTTCTTGTATTTTTTTTCAGTATAATGTAATGATTAATTAGTTAAATTTTTCATGATCGCATCCAGAATAGTAATTCAGTGTTTTGAAATCATAGTTTGACTTGAGCCTCTTTGACTTTGCTGAATTCATTATGTTGAATAACTGTTTATTTATCGACTTATATTATGTTTTACCTAGCTTTTTGACTCTGCTGAACTTCAGGAACGTTTTCCAGAATGGTCTGGAATAGGAATGATTAGTTTTATCGCAGTATCACAACGTTTAGCTGATCAAATTGAGTAAGTTAAAATGAAGTAGAATTATTTTTTACCTGTTGTATTATACCTGTAGTCAAAGAGTTCACCGCAATTTTCAATATTTCAAATGCCAAACAAACTTAGTATTTGCTCTTATGACGTAAAATTCTCAGGGCAATACGAAGTCACCTTGAAAAGCGTACAATTAGAGATGATAGTGGAATAGTTTAGAGACAAAGCAATATTGGACAAACAGCTCGTCCCAACTTTAAACTTCTTTCTAGTACACATGAATAACACGATCGTCATTGATGGCAAGTTAAAATCCAGCATTATAGATTGCCAACACTTGTCGACTTCATGCAGTCAGTCTCCTTCACAATTTTAAGTAGTGCTCGAATGACAGTTTTCGCTTTGTTTCATTTGGGTGTTCAAATGTTCTGTTATGATTTTAGATCCAAAAAGGGTCGTGTTCTATGAAGTTGAATAGAAACACTGATCAGCATTGATTTTAACAAAAAACATTCATCTTTATTTAAATTTTTCAAACTGGATTGTTGTGGTATATATTTGTGAATTTGGCACCCATATGGATTCAATTTGTTAGCAGACTTGTGAGTTATATGCAACTTTAAGCCATGAGATATAGCTTCAGACTGAGTCCTATTTAGTTGCGTGTCAGATAGGTTAAGTCTATATTTCTACGAGTTTTCAGAAAGTTCATCGACCCTTTTCCCCGTTGATTAGAGCTCTCAATAATGTTTTATAGATGGTTTTATCTGTGTTAAATTTCTAGAAAGGTAATGCATTTTGTAGGACATACTTTATTAAGTCTGTCAACTAAACTGTTAATTGACTGGTATTTAATTCCCAGTTTTGTAGAATGATGATTGCTAATATCAAATCCACTACTTACATAATTGAAATTAATTGTTTACAGCTTCCCAAACCAGGACAAAACAATGAACCAGTTTATCCAGGCCTTTGTTTCCAAATTTCACTGTTATTATAACAGAACTAGTTGTTATTTATTTTGTATTAATTAATATAATTCTTACTATTGTTCAACTATCTGACTATTTTTCTTGATTGTAATACTTAACACTGAATAAAAGATGTTATATACCAGCCATCGAACTCATCTCATCATTTCGCTCATTAGAAAATTACTCACCATTCAGCAGTAGTGCACGCATTAGATTCTACTGACAGTTTATACTACTAGAAAGTAGTATAAAAATTATAAGAATGTTTTCATCATCGATATTTGTAACATACCTGTTGTGAATTCGATGTGGAAATAACTGTATAGTTTTGCACAAAATATAGACAACGATTCTTTTGGTAAATAATTTCATATTCATAACTCTCTTACGAGATTACCTGATTAATAGTCCTGAGTCTCATATAAGTTCGCACTCACATAGGTTATAATCAAATATTAAGCAGTATTGAGATTAGTCGCAAATTCCAGTTAATCATGATAAAAGAAAAACTACGGCATAGCAAGAGTTACGCATTAAATCAATTCTATAAAAAAATTAAACCGGATTATGTATTGACTAAGATAATTTTAGATGACGTGACAACGTGAAGTTTATCCCCACTCGTCTTAATTGACTAGAGAGTATAAATAACCTTCAAATTGATTTCTTTCAGTCACTTATGACATTTTATCATATTTATTTTCTGTTAGTATTTCTTGAACATGTAAATCACTTTATTACATGAAAGATCGATTTTACTGGACAATGGTCTTGTTTTTGATTGCTTAGTCACTCGAGGGCTTATGTTAATAACAAAGCCTCATGAGCAACTATCTCTCGGTCACGTTGTTTCATAGGGTCCATTTATTGATAAGCATTCTATTTGCCCTCAGTTAACACATTGAAAACTCAATCAATTCATTCAAATTATTCATAACGTTTTTACTTAAACATGTTGATTAAATCAGTGGCTAGTAACTATATGTTCACGATTGATAGGCATTTACTGATCATTAATGAACTACAAAGTCAATAAAATAGTTAGATGATGACTTCCATGATTAAACGTAACAGAACATGAGATCATATGTGAAATAACTTTTTCAGTTTTATTACTTTTCATACTAACACTTACTCAACAGCGTCATCATTGGTTTCAGAGTACAGAATTTTTCTTCATATTCGGTATATGATTTTGACAATTGATCTTTCAATCTCTTTTCCTGAGGATTGAATTATTCATTTTTTTATTACAAAACGAATAACTATTCTACGGGAAGATAGTGATTTCACATAAAGATATGTCTGTATGTCTACTGGAAGTGTGAAATTTCAATATCAGGACAATTTTACAATCTATCGATATTTTAGAAAAAGATATTTATTGAGACATACCATTCTTTTTTCATTCATCGATTATATTTTTTGAAAATACTCTAACATGTTAAGTTTTGGCCTTATCTACTTTGTGCTATCATAAAAGTGTTTTGGAAGAATTTGAGTGGATTGACTAACGCGTTTTCAATTTGTAAAGTAAAGAGAAATAGAATTGACCGAGTGTTGGTTGCTCAAGAGGTTGTGTTTTTGACGTAAATTATCGAATGAATAGAAATTGTTTATGTTGACTAGTGAGTGAGATTATTAATATCCGTGTTATAGCAATCGTTAACCTTTTCAGTCAACCTAATTTTGCAAATAGTGATTATTATTATTATTAATATTATTATTATTATTACTATGTAACTGATCATTTCGTAAAAAATGTCGGTCATATAAGTAAGATAGTTAGTATTTTCAGTATAGTTAGGTGATCATCACTTGGTCTCACGATGTTACCCGATTACTCAATATTTACTCCCAATCTAAAAATGATCGACAATAAATTGTGCCTGATGTAAATTTGGTGCAGGATGACCAATAAAAGTTCGCATCCCAATCCGAATTATTGCTGTTAATGTTATTATTATTATTATTATTATTGTTATGATTAGTATTATTTCTCATTGATGTGAAAATTCTCACAGAATATTCTATATCAAAGAGTATTAAGGCAAACTGTTGTTTTCAATAATTCTTTCATCAGACTACAGTTGTGCGCCGTAGATGAAGGTTGCACAACATCGTTAATTGACCCAAGTCCGATATTGATAACGTTAGATTGCGGCTTAGTTGTCTAGAGGTTGAACGCTCGCTTGCAAGTCCTGACTTTGGTTTCTGCTCCGCTGGGTTGTGGGTGCTTACTGCTGAGGAGCCCCATATTATCCTTTGTTATTCATTCATAATTCTGCCTTTACGTGATTATGTCAGTAATCATCATTGCTAATATTATTATTATCACTATATCAACTACACCAAAATATTCCTTATTTTATAAAAATTTGCTGTTTACAAACGATTTTAACCTTAGATGATTAGAGTTAATTACGTTGATTCTCGCAACATTTATGCTTGATTTTCTTAACATTAACAATAATGATATTCTTTTGCTTTGTTATTAATTTGTAGTGTAATTAATTATTATTTTCAGTGTATAATATGGATTTATTCAGCGTTATGTCTATTTCACTGGGATATACTTCTCGAATCATATCTTCGAGATTACTTGTTTTTTTGTACCATAAAATGAAAAAAAACTGTATTAATAAAATGGTTGAACATTTTTTATTGTTAATATAATATAGAACTATTGGGTTTCATTATCCTACTGAATCCTAATAAAGCAGACAGTATTGTTGAATTTGTACACCGCTAACCATTTGCATTGTACCACAATTGTCATAAAACCATAGATAATGGTGTGAAATACTGGTTGATTTCTTTACTGAATGGTACGTTTTCTGTTCCCACAGACTCATATTATCAAACGTCATACAGTTTATAGAGCAAGTAACTGCTGATTGAATGTTTCTCACAAACTGTTAATTTTTTTCTTAAATAAAGGAATTCTCGTGTCGGAAGTAGACCGTAAGTTAACTGTTACTAGGCATTTATTTACCTACATATATAACATGAATTTCTAACCACTGGGAATTAGTCGTATAAGAACGGAAAAATTCTAGCAAATGGACCAACATCAGACTGATTAACGTTTTTTTTGTTGTTGTTGTATCGAATTAGAACTTTTAACTTGGAAGGTTTATTTGTCTAAGCAGTACTTGTCCTGTTGTTTGGTGAAAATGATTGCAAATGACATTTCTACAATAAAATATTTATGCAGTGTTTATTTGAAATTGTTGTGTTCTCTCTATTATCGTCATTGAAAATAGAATTAGTAGTATAAATAAATACTTTCCCTAGAGAGATAAGTCATTAGTTTAACAAATTCTCTGCACACTAATAATTTTTTTTCCATAAGTCTGTTAAATGAATAATTCATTTTACGTATATTAATACTTAGTATTATTATTCCAAGTTCTTTTCATATTCATCCCTCTATCCGTTTCTCCTTTTTTTTTTCTTGTCTGATTTTTATTTCTTTTATTTTTGCTGTTTGAATCGTTTTTCCCGTTAAATACTGTCAAAAAATCTTCCTTTTTTATCTGACTTCACACCAGTTCCAGTGTGAGTAAAACATAGCACTCATATATGCATACAAACAAACACCGGTTATTGTCATTTAACACTTTATTCTTCATCAGTTACATCTGTTAATAATGATGATAATAGTAATAATTACTATTATTAATATTAATACTGTCCTATTCTACTAATTTTTTTTTATTTCTAATTGATGACAAATTATCATGTTAATAGTAATAATAGTTAATTTGTCTCATTTTATTCACATCAATTGATGATGTCAATTTTTTTATGAAATTGATGAATGGTTGTGTTGTAGAATAGTTTGCTGTTATAAATGTCCATTTTTGTTGATGCTTTTTTTTCTAAACGGTTTAGATGATTACTTCTTTCGTTTTACACTGAATGTAATTCATGGATGCGAATTCACGGAAATGTGTTCTATTTAATAATTATTATTATTACTGTTATTATTGCTACTATTATTACTAGAAGTAGTAGTATTAACCTAGAAATGTATTTGTATTCCATGTTTAATTTTTGATTCAGTAGAGTAGTTATGTGTAATTTAGAAATTTTCTTAGAACTATTGTTAGCAGTAAGATGTTACGGTAGTAAGTTTTGTTTGTTTGAAAATTTGATATTTTCACGCTAATAATGATCAGAAGGTCCTTTAAGTATCTACTTGGTGTTTATATTATTGGATAGGTTACAACTACTTGTTTGCTGTGATCTTAATCAGTTTGAATTTGAATCCTCACCATGTTACTTTGTGTTTAAGAATGTTTGCTTTTGTTTGACATGAAAGTCACATTGGATATTTTCACAATTCGACCAAATCTATCTGCTTTTTTCGATTGAACTGTCTAACTACTTTTTTCTCTTTTTAGTAGCTTCAAATATTTTCAATATTTTAATGCATTGAATTTAATAACCATGTTTTCGAATTAATAAATTTATTTACTCTTACATGATAACACTTTTTTCCAATCTAATACCCATATTTTATTTTTATTATCGATAATAAGACATACTGTACAAAGGGCCTATGATCAAGATGAATCATCTAGTGAATATCAACAGAATTGGATCGATTCAGGTTTAAATAATTTAAAAAACTCTGAACAAAATATTATTTCACAGGTATGAGTATATGAAGATGTTTTAAATGTATCTTTATTTTTAAAAAATGTAGAATGACTTTAAAAGCCATGGAGGATTGGACAAGTGCTTTATTTTATAGTTTAGAATTCTTTGCGGTAGCGTTGGATAGCTTATATAAAACTTATTTCATTATAAGGACATCGTGACATGTTGCAAATTTTCTACTTAAATTGATTCAATGTATTCTGCAACTAACTTGGCTGATCGTGATTTCCTACTAAAATGTTAAAAAAACTTTTGAAGCCCTATTTCTGACGCCAGCTGGTAAACATGCATTCTTTATTTGAAGTATTATTCAGTTTACTAATAATCACTGTTCATTGTTAAAGGATAGAAAATTCTGTTTATGGTTGCAGCCTTAAAAATTGATATAAATTGAACTGTAGTTAGTAGTGAAATTCAAAACATGCATTTTATCCTATTTTAACTCACCAGATTGGTATGCTAACTAAGACTCATGGAATTGTAGTTGCAATATTATCAGTAGGATAATCTCCACCATTACAAATCGAAATAAATGCCCTCATTAATTGCGTTTGTCTTTTTAAATCGGACGATAAACACTGTATCATGTAGATCTATTTTTCTCAGTTGATTACTGTAAATGATTCCATTTATATATTCAACAAGTTTGTGATTTCGTCCTAACAAAAAAACCTATCGATGTTTTCTTTGTTTCAATATGAATATGTGTAGGCTAGAGGATTACTTTTACTTCTAAATAATATTGAATGGGTTGCATGTCATGCAAACTATCGTCTGTTAAATCTATACAAGTCATTGGGTTATGTTTCAGTTACTCGATTACAAGCTACTTTAGATGAAGCATGGGATGAAGGTCGAAAGGATATTTGTTCAAGATACGTGAAATTACGTAGTGAATGGTTATGTCTACCGCTTCAATCATATTTAATAAATCTTCTACCGTCGGAGAGATACATGAGTATCAAAAAGAAAGATGATATAAATTTAATAAGTGGTATGTTTTGTTTGTTTTGAGAATTGTAAATTTCTAAATTATTTAATGGTTTTTCTTCGAGCATAATAAAGTGTCTTAATATTACTAGTCTAATTCTTGTACTGATGTATGCATGCCAGAAGCTTACACTCACATATGCATTACTTCAGTGGTCAGACTGCTCAACAAATGAAAGACACTCAAATACATTCATCAGTAAAGGATACTTACATGTACAGGAGTTTAGCAATAAATCATTGAACTATTTGGAGCTCATATTTTAACTCTGAATAGAAGTCAAATGTGATTACTGGCATTGTCATCAGTAAACCTAATTTATGCAAAGGGACATCGGGTCGTTTCCAAAATTATTTACATATATGTAAATACACATTTATGAGCTTGGGTTTGACTTATAAATTTTATTTTATTTGTTTATTTTTTCATTTATAAAAATAACTCAATTCTATTTCAGGCATACAAAGTTCAGTGCAAGAGGTCCTAGCTAATTTATCACATATTTATTCTGAGTTAATTTTACTCATTGGATTGAAATCTATTCAATCATCGTCATCCTCCTTTTCATCCTCCTCTTCCTCCACTTCATCATCAAATCGAAGTAATTCTCTCATTGAGACTAATACCAAGAGGCCAATTTGTTCAATTAGCATTCAAGAGATTTTTCATCAAATTATTCAATATTTTATTCAAAATATTCATGATCGTTTAATGTAAGTTTTGTTTTAAGGCTACAGATTACTGGCAACTAATATATTTCGATTATTTTGAAAATGATAGAAATTTTTTTCTTTTTTCAAAATATTGATATTACACGACGAGAAAATGGGATTTGAGCTAAAAAGTGTAATATTTTAAAAATGTACTTTTAGAACGATCTAAAATTATACATAAATTTCTTAACGTTTATCAGTGATAGTCGAATTATTGTCAGTTGGTAATTGTAAATAAATGGATAAGTGGAAAGTAATACAAAATTTGTCATATTATTTGTAGATTTTTATTGTTTTAAAAGGAAACTGATCAAAGCATATTTATTTCCAGCTTATGAAAAGCTGGAAATATTTTTGATTCTAAACTAATTTCAGTTCGTGAATGTAAAATCAAACTTCGAAGTAGATAAACAAATTGAAAGATTAAAACTATACTTAAACATTGTTGTTGACCAAAACAATGCAGAAATCCATAAAGTCATTGACAAGTGGACTGAGTCATGTGGGTAGATGTAGGCTATCTGGTTGTGGTCCGCGAGACGATAGTAACCGATGGCTAGAGACTTTGAATGACATGGCTCAAAATCGTTTGCAATGGCGCAGGTGCATCCACTCTTTGTGTCCTATGAAATTCTAATCTTCATAATTTATCATCTCTACATTTCTCCTTCTAAATTTATCTCACTGAATTATACTTCTTGAACAACATCTTGGAACCCTAATCCTCTCTATCACGAGTAGTGCTCTTACTATCTCTACCACTATGGGATTTGAATTGACAATTGCGTCTCGGTGCTAATGTGGTATGGCAACATGAACTGATGTAATTACGTACGAAGTTCTACGTTGCATCTGACTGACTGTTATTGATGCACACCTGTGCAAGTCCTTTTGAATCGTTTTAATGTCGGATAACGAATTGAATGAACGTTGTTGAATCAGGTTATACTCACATTACTAAACAAAGGTGGCTAACCGAAACAAGTCTTTATCACTATTGAGTGAAATCAAGCAAATCAAGTTTTTTTTTATTCAATCACGTTAATATAGATTAGATGGAATGTAGTTAGTGGTGGAATCTAGGGCATACGTTTTGTCCTATATAGGATTCTTCGGCTAGTTGCCTTTGCCTCCAGAGTTGATGTTTACCAAGGGACTCGAACCAATTATCGTTTGCTTCAAACTCCATAACTATATCCCTTTAGCTACTGAGTCCAGATAGCCACTCACTTGTGAATTTCAACTTGAAACTGTTTTAGACTGAAATTTGGTTAGTTTTTGTTGGTGTACATGAATCCTGTGCGCATTGCCTCAATATAGTTATTATGACACAAGTTTACATTGAAGAGATGGAATGTGACTAGCATTAGAATCCAGGACCCCCGTTTCTTCCTATTTGTGACTAGTCAATGTGCAGTCTGCTCATATGCCTGCTAAGACTGTTGGGATTTCAGTTAAAAATGTCAACAACTGGATAATCAAAAAAATTAGAATTAAATTATATCCAAAAATGTATACCTGTAAAACATTGTAAAGTTTCATAAATGTTTTTGTATATTCCATTTTAAAAACATTTAATATTTAATTTAGCTCATATTGTGTGGTTGGTGGTAGTAGACTTTGAATAACCTAAGATCATTATGACGTTTTTTCATAGTTAGTATTTATTTTCTTCTCTGTTTGATGATTATTTGGTCATATACACACACTATATATACTTCGCTAAAATCATTGAAAAAGCTCGGTATTTTCAAAGTTCTTTGTATTTCGGTATTAAAAGCACTACCAATCTTTGATCTTCATATTGTAAAAAATGGTATCACTTCAGAGTTTTAAGTTTATATTTATTTATGTATATTTATATATTCTATACTAAAGATTTTAAAAAATTAGAAGAATTTATCAATAGCTTGTCGTTTAAAATGCTTGACTTGCAACCTACAAGTCACAGCAGAGGTCTAAACTCATCCATTTTCTAACTGCTTTGTTTAAAAAACTAGGTACTATTACTTCAAACACAATGGTTTGTACGTGGTGCACTAAATAAATTGCATTTTCGGGTAAAATAATAGCAGTGATACAGTTCTCAAATCTAATTCAAGTACTAATTTATATTCTACTCTGTTTTTATTAAAGATACTATCTCTAGAATGGTTTTGCGCGTCTGACAATTAACAATATTTATCTTATTGTGTCTGGTTTGTAGTCAGTTATTGTGACTGATATCTGCCATTTATCTACAATATTTGTAGGCTGATTTAAAAATAAATCTAGATTTACTTCACTGACTATTTATACAAAACTAGGACAAAATGATTGTAGATGAATTTAAACACTTTCTATCGATGTATATTATTTTTAGTGGCTGTGTTGCATTCGAAGTAGGGCTTACCACTTCAGTGACCCACAATCTGACTCCAGTTTGCGTGCACGGTCGAGTATGCAGTGAAATAAATCATCACTACTATTTCCGTATATCATACTTAGGCGAACCCCATTTGTTCGACGGCAGCAATAGGAGGCCCAATATGGTTTTGTGGATGAATTTTTTTAATACGTTCATTTAAGCAGACAGACATGAGAATTTGGAGAGTAAAGATAAACCAAATTGAAGTGGAGAAGGTGAGTGAGACAACTCAATGCATTGATGCACGACTAAACATTTATAGTCAGACAAATATAAGCCAAACATACGATAAGTGAAGTAAGCATGTGTGCACACACACACACACTGAATAAGAACAATTAAGATTATAAACGAGTGATTGACAAGGTCGAAAGATATGTGAATAACTCGAGGAGAACTGTCGAAAAGCTGATACAAGCCTCGCGGGTTCGACATATTAGTACACTGACTAGTAATTTCATGATCTAGAATCACTTTCATTATAATCTTGGTAAAAACTATTTTGATAAGTACTTTTTTGTTTGTACATACTCTGCCACACACTATCAGCATCATCTGCTTCTTTTGTGTTATTTTTTTTTTCTTATGCTGAATTGGTATACGTTTGTTTGCTCTGTTGTTTACGACAGCTATACATTTCGCCTTCATCTGTTTGTATAACTCGGTTTTGAAAGGGTTAGTTGTTTAAATATGCTTTACATATATTTATACCAACTAGATAGTATATTATACGGAAATGACAGAATCATATCCGTTCGAGCTTTGGATTGATTACATTTTTCGTATCATTCCTGTTCATTACTGAACACTATGTTAAACAACATTATAATAGCCATCCTATATTTTAAACTAATATGTAGATAAAAACTTTGGATGATCTTAAACTTACATCACAATTCATTCTTCATATTTGGTAAAGTACTTACTCATTTCCTAAACATCGTAATTCTTATTCATTTTTTTTCCTTTATAAATCTTGTCACAAAATAAATAAACTTTAACTTTTTTTTGTGGAAGTACCATCAATATACAATTTGTAAAAACTTGTGCCGTTTACATTCTCATTAGTAGTCAATCATTCTATGGTTTATGAAATGAAAAAAGAAGTAAGAAAATTTTGCTCTTGTATGGTTTTGTTTTCTAATCTTTCATTTGACTTAGTTTGTCGGTATTACTGACAATGTTACATGACAAAAAAAGCTACATGTTTTACCAATCGGTCTCATTTTTGTTCCCATTTAGTCAAATAAATAGAAATTTTTAATTTATTCTCTCGTGTCATTGTTGTATTGCTGTTGCTCTTGTTGTTGTTGTTGTTGTTGTTGTCAATAATTTTCATTTGTCTTCAGTGTAGGTGAAATAGTTTCGTTTGAACTATGAAATTGTGCTGATAACTACTGTTTACATAAATTATGAAAGACAACTTGGGTGAAATTAACTATTTTATCTGTTTGTGTATTTATTACATAATGTTGTTAAACTGGCTAATACAAATTTAATTATTGTACGTTTCTGGTTTTTTTTTTTGTTAAAAAAAATGTCAGATTATAATATCTACTTATCAGTACTGTCTTACTTAAGTGTATGTAATCCGTTAGCAGGTATGAAATGACTCTTGGTTATTTAAAGGCTTTGATTATTGCCATGAATTAATTGACTAGTTTCACTCATGTAAAAAAAGTTGTAGAAAAAGAAAAGAAAACTAATATTGGTAAATAATATTAAAAATCATTTGTACGTGGGTAGTCTGTATACTTACAACAAACGTCAATCATTCAAATGTTGGGGGATAGTGTACGGCGGAATGAATTTATCCATTTCCTTAGAGAAACAGATAGATAAATAGATACTTCAGAAAAGGTTCTCATTAGTAAGATAGATATGAACTTAGCTTAATATCAAAAATTAACAATATTTTATGATATATATGCTTGTTTATATTGAATAATTTTTCACTAGTTTCACTAAACTTTCATGGATAAGAAGTAGTTTTTGTTTGTCTATGAACTATTCAATGTAATTGTACTTAGTTGCGTTTAGGTATTCTCTCCCTCTCTCGCATTACTGGATACTTGGTTCTTTTGTTTATTTACCATATTCTGGTAATGTGAGTTCAGTTGACTCATAGATCAGTAGCTTTCATTTATACTTTGTTTTGTACTGTCGATTAATATCTTCAATCTTGAGAGAACAAATTTGGCGCAATGCTCTTAATGTAGACAATTCTCACCGTAAATTCATAATATGCAAGTATATTCTCTAGATCATTGGATTCACATTATAAATGTCTTCTTTTTTTTCGATACACTTTTAATTGTGAATTCATGTTAGAAAATGAGTCTTAATACACTCGATTTTTTTTGTATTAGCTTCTTTAGTTTATTAAAAACTACCATTTTTATCACAATTTGGTTGAGTTAGTCGTCTTAAACTCGATTTCATATTTTTCCAACTACTTAGAATCCCAAAGAAGGTTTGATGCATCTATCTAGTTCTTAAGTTCTAGTCAAATCGTATTAATCAATAAGAAAAGTGGTCACCATTCACAGTGATTGCATATCGCGTGCACTATGTTAGGATGTTAAATGGTTGGAGGTAATCTACGTTTCGCCATCAATATCGTGTTCGTCTAGTTTTGTTAATACTGATAGAATTCTATCGCTTCAGCTGACTGAATCACCAAACTTACTGAAAACTAAAATTTATTAGTCAGTTTCACTTCATTATAATCTGATCAAACCATTTATTATTGTTTTTAATTCTTCCACCCCCCCTATTATTTATTTATCTATTTATTATTATTATTATTATTATTAAAGTGAATATGATATGTCGAATTGGTCAAAATTAGCTCAATTACAATTAACTCTGGATTTGAATACAATTAAATTAATTTTACCGAGTTGTTTATTTACAAATGAGTCGAATAAACTTTTAAATATGATATGCGCGCGTTACAAAATTAAATTTTCTCCAGTATTCAGTTATTTAGGAAGTGATGAATCAAAGTAAGTTGATTATTTCATTTACAGTTTTTGTTAATTCCGTTTACAAAATTTATACTTATGATATTGTTGTTGTTATTGTGTAGAAAAAGATTGTGACAGATTCACAAGTCAATTCTACAACTTAAATATTAATTACTGTTTTTTTTTGAGTTTAAATTCATTTGTGTAAAAATCAAAAAAATAAGTAAATTAATTCAATTCTGATATTAATTTATAGACTTGATCAGGTTGATACAAAGAACAGTGTTACATGTAATGGGCAGAGACATAATGTTGATTTACTTGAAATAATGTAGTTCAAAAATTGTCTAGTGTAGTGCATTTGTCACATTAGTTAAAGCAATGTAAGGTTGCAGTTGTTATTCATTAGTTATTCATAAGGAGAGTAAGAGGTAAATTGTCCTCGTGACTTCCGAAAAGATTCGGCTTTCGTCGTAAGGCGTCATTTCTCTTCTAGATCAAGATCTAACTCCCAGGGTAAGTTTAAATGGTTTAAATAGAAGAGATTTTAGAAAATGTGGAGACCTTTACATACTTGGGCAACAACATGATTAATAAGCATGATGGAACTGAAATAGATGCAAAGGCACATATTAAGAAAGCAAGGGCAGCATTTCTTCAATGAAGGCTCATCCAGAACTCAAAACAACTGTCAACCAACACTAAAGTCAGAATTTTCCATACAGTTATCAAGACAGTTTTACTGAATGGGGCGGAGACTTGGAGAACTACGGAAACTATCATTCAAAGGTTATGGGTATTTGTAAACATTAGTCTACTCAAGATGCTCCGGATCTGTTGGCCAGATACCATCAGAAAAACAACCTACTATGACAGAAAACGAAACAGTCTCCAGATAAAGAGGAAATTTCGAAAAAGGTCCGGAGGTGAATATGACACACATTGAGGAAACCATCATACTGCATCACGAGGCGTCCCCTAACTTGGAATCCTCAAGGTTATAGGAAAGAAAATGGCCATAGAACATTTTTTTGACTTATTACTTACTAAAATATTCAATAGGTTTAAAGTAAAACACTATGCTTTCAGTTTATTTAACCTGGAGACCATGCATTATTTCAGTCACATCGTATTATTCTTTCCACACATCTTTATCTTACAAACGGACACCTTGATAAATAGGTTGATTAATCAATATGTTTACTGTTCTACAAGTGACAATGTTACATAATAGCACTAGTAGTTCCACTTAAATTAATTTCTTCCTGATAGTACGTTATTGTTAAAATATTTACATGGAATTCTGATTTATTTAAAGTATTTGTTTGTTCTCTTTTGTTTTATTCATTATTTGCTAGACATTTATCAAAATTACTTGAAAAAGAAAAAATCAAAATGCGTTTATTAATTAATGGTTTATCTACACTTCAACCACCACGGCGGGAATCAGTGGTTACAGGATAATTGATTATCCTCGTGTATTTCCCACCCGACCTCCTCTCTCTCTCACACACACTCTCAAACACCAGAACTTCATCTGGATATTGTTTTCACCTATTTACTTTTGATTGATTTTCCATTTACTTAAAGTGCTCTTTGTATAAATTTTTATTCTGATCTGTGATTAATTTTTTACCTGTGTATTTGGCTATTGTTCTAACTACAATTTAAACTGTTTTTTATTAGACAAAAACTTTCAATAAATTGAAGAAGTTTTATAAACAGAGATTAATATACTTCTATACTTAATTTTAAGTCGTTTTTGTTCGAAACGTTACACTTGATGTTTTAATTCTGAAATTATTCAGTCATTGTACTCCTAATGCCGATTTTTAGAGTTTTATTGTGCAGCGTAGTGAATAGAATTTTTTGTTGACAGGTGAAAGTATGTTGATTGCATCATCAAGACGTTCATGATTAGTACCATGATTGAAGATATGTAATCTGTCTTTATAAGCTGCTACCTTTTGTCTAGTGTTAAGAAACCTTTGTCCTTGCCTCCTGCATGCTTGTTGACACATCAGCAAGGTGCATATATAGTCTTAATATGCGTACATCATAAACATATATATATATATATATATATATATATATATATATATATATATATAAAGTTTTCTTTTAGCATACATTTTGATGATTTATACCTCATTTAAAAACAATGGGCAACATACCCTCACACTTTTAAACGGCCTATAAAACCATATACATGCAGAAGAGATTTCAAAGTAACAGTGAATTTCCATGTTGGTTGATTCATTCAGGCTCTCAAGCGGTACGTGATATTCAATGCTTTTAATAATACTACATTTCATCAGGACTTACTTTTTTTACCAGGCAGTCAAATAAAATGACTACTTAAAACAATTAAATTACAGTAATAGGGTATAATGTTTCCCTAACAAAATCAGGTATAAAATCGAATTCAATGTTTTGTTACATTTCTCATCAAATAGTTACCAACTGTATGGAGCTCCAATCATTTCTTTCGCTATTACATTTTCCAGTTAATTTATTGATAACCTTTTTGTACAACCATTCGACATTTCCGTCATATGAGTTTTTATACGTATGTAGCTAAAAATCATATGTGCCATGGTTGTATGAAATTAGCATTAGGTTGTAGATGTTTGGAATATGCTCTCAGTTAACAACCACATTTGCCTTACAATATGTGTAGACTGACATTAAAATGGGTCTCATACACTGTTTTTTAAATATTACCTATAAAATAGTGTATAACCAGTTATAAACGGAAATCAAGTCTAAGCTTAACATTTACATTAAAGTAATAATCCTTTCTTGAAGAAAGCATACTTTTTCAAAATAACATAGGTTATCTGATTATAGATGCATCATACATTTAAATCGAAGCTTAGTTATGCATCAAGTTAAACTAATAAAATTTGTACTCGTTAAAAGATTTCAGCTTACTTAATCTGATTCTTGATAGTTCTTCAAGTTATTTCAGTTTGTGATGGAAATAATTTCGAATCGACTCACTTTCACGAAGTTCTAATTTAATATAAATTATTTCCAGTTTCTGCTGCGTTGATATTTCTCCCAAAACAATAAAATAATCTTATCGTTTGCGAATACAAGTAGTAAATAGGTTTGATCGGAATACTCAAATTTCATAATGTTTCCATACATTCAGCTAGTATTCTGAACTGTGCATACATCTTATTAGCATTAGTACGTTTGAAAAATGTCAAATGTAAGCAGTATTTTTATTTGCACTGTTGCTTGACATGACGTCTATGTATAAAAATACTATCATTGAACGTGCACTAAGCAATTGTATAAGGTCAAATTATGGCTTTATTTTGAATTGTCAAATCTATTGACTATAGTTTGTATTTATTTCACATATTTTATGTACTAACTAATACTAACTGAGTATTTTTAAAGCGTCAAGTAAACTTTTGAATCAAATACCTTATTATCTAATTAATATATGTTCGTTTTAAAATGTTGAACCTATTTATTGAAGATTTACAATGTTTGGTTAGTTTTAATGAATCTATTTATACAATTAATTGTAATGATCAGTGAACTAGTACCAAAGTGGATTGTATTAAAAAATGTGTATAATACACATAATCGAATATATATACTGGTAATCATGATAGTAATATTATTGTTGGTAATTGTAATAATACTAATAGTAACTTCTGACTAATTTCAAAGGAAACGTTATTGAAAATACAGCGGTTCTTTTGAACCTGATATGTATATATATACATATATATAATAAATTTTGGAAAGCAGAGATCAAAAGAATTAAAATACGCAGAACCGTTTACTCGAAATCTGTTTATCATAATAATATATGTGCAAGATATTGGATATATAATTTGAGGACAAAACATAAGATAAACACAGTATAATCAATCAGTCAGAAATAATAATAAGTTACTAACTTTAAATTCATAGTTATCGAAGAATTAAACTACTACATACAACATGAAGAAAATGGAAATAGGAATGGACACTATCAGATTAACATGATTAATACATTTATCTTTTTCTGATTTTCTAAGTTCATGAGCAATTCTCACGCCATGGATATATGTAATAAACATCACTTGTTTTCACTACCAGTTGCCCTTTTATGTTTATCGTTAGTATACTATGAGCGATTCGACAGACTTAGGTTGGAGAATTCGATTGACATAACCGTAACGATTTCGGATTATCTTTGACTACTAGTGTTTAATGTTACGATTTATGTAAAATGTAAGTTCGATAGGAGTTAGCGGTATTTTGTCATAAAATGTTTAGAAAAGTTCGACCGAAGTAAAGCCGATATAATTATCGCTAATGTTAAGGGATAATGGTAGCTCAACTCGCCATTTTTCTAAAATCAGAAAGGTAAATCTTAATAGCTAGAAGGTCCTGGGTTAGATCTTTGATGGGTTCAGGGTCGGGCAATGCAGAAGACAAAATAGTTGTCCAGGGCTTCCTTATTTTTACCTGATTATTCAACTAATATCAGTCTGCCCTTGAAAACTAAGAGAATCTACCGATCTCCATAACGTATTATATTAATACTTATCTCATACTTACTGGTAATTAACTTACATCACATTTTCATATGACCATTTTAAAACTGCGTGAATTGTAGTAACTCTTATTAGACAAATGAAACCTAATAACTAAGCATCGTTAATCATTTGAATATATTTTTGTGATTAAATTTAAACTACACTTACCATTTAACAAAATCAGACTGAACAAAGGTAGGTGTTTAAATACACATCTACAAATTAAAAAAAGGGAACTGATTTTAGAATACACAGTTTCAGTGTTCGTTATTATAACGATCATTCACAGTTGTTTTATGGTAGTCATGACAACTACAACTACAAACCAATAGATAATTCAATTTAACATCTTTTGGAACACCCTGTTGTTGATTTCTCTGACAGATATTCGGTCAGTCTTGGTTGATTTATGTGCATGATGTGCAGATTGCTTCGATATCATCATCAAGCAAGTTGATATAGAACCAATGAAATGCAGCTTGTAGTGTAGCCAGGAGACATTCACATCCAAAATGTGTTGTATATTAATCCAAAAAAAGTTCTGTGAGCTTACTTTTACTTACTTACTCCTATTACCACCAATGGAGCATAGGCAGCCGAACAATTTTCTCCAACCTACTCAGTCCTGGATTTCTCTTTACGATTCCGTCCAATTTTTGTTCAGTCTTCTCATTTCTGTCTCCATTTCTCGGCGTAATATGTCCCTTGGCTTCCTTCCTCTTTTCCTTTGATCTTGAAGGTTCCAAGTGAGGTCTTGTCTTGTGACGCAGTTAGGTGCTTTCTGCAATATGTGTCCTATCCTTTTCCAAAGCTTCTTCCTGATTTCTCCATCCATTGGAATCTGCTTTGTTCTTTCCCACAGAAGGTTATTTCTGATGGTGTCGGGCCAACGAATCCGAAGTATTTTGTGTAGGCAACTGTTAATGAATAGTTGTATCTTCTGGATGATGACTTTGATAGTTCTCCAAGTATCCGCTCCATCCAGTAGAACTGTCTTGACATTTGTATTGAAAATTATGACTTTGGTGTTGGTTGATAGTTGTTTTGAGTCACAGATGTTCTTCAATCGTAGAAATGCAGCCCTTGGTTTGCCGATCCGCACCTTCACATCTGTATCAGATCCATCTTGCTTGTCAATGATGCTGCTCAGTTATGCAAAGGTGTTAACGTCCTCCAAGGCATCTCCATCAAGAGTGATATGGTTTGTGCATGTGGTGTTGTATCGGAGAGTCTTGCTTTTCCCTTTGTATATGCTGAGACCTGCTGCTGCAGAGGCTGTTACTAAACTGGTCGTCTTCATTTGCATTTGTTTTTGTGTGTGCGATAGAAGAGCCAGGTCGTTTGCCAAGTCCAGCTGCATCCTGGCTGTCCACTGTATGTCCTGTTTCCCTCCAGATGTTGAATTTTTGATAATCCACTCGATCACTGAGAGAAAGGAAAAGGTTGAGAGTAAGAAACCTTACCTGATACCGGTCTTGACCTCGAACGAGTCTGTGAGCTGTTATTTGTGCACGATTTTGTAGTTGAATCCATCATAAGAATTCAGTATGATGTTGACTATCTTCTCAGACACGCTATTGTGTCGAAAAAGCCTCCACAATGTTGTCATGTCCACACTGTCAAATGATTTCTAATAATCAATAAAGTTGATGTGGAATGGTGAGTTCCATTCAATTAGTCGTTCCACAATGATCTGTAGTGTTGCAATTTGGTCGGTACACGATCGATCCTTTCGAAATGCATCCTGTTGATCTCGAAGTTAAGCGTCTACGAAGTCCTTCGTTCTGTTTAACAATATCCTGTTGAAGACTTCAGCTGGTATTGAGAGAAGAGTGATACCTCTGTAGTTCCCACACTTGCTGAAATTGCCTTTGTTTGTTACTTTGATGAAGTATCCTTGTTTCCAGTCTGCTGGTACTTGTTCCTCATCCAAAATTTTAACTGAGTGTGGAAGAAGTGGACCTGATTTTTATTTGTCTCTTAAATATAAAATTCATTTATTGCTTTAAAATAAATCACTTTAGTTCTATAAACAGATGAAAATAAGTATTGATTACGAAATCTAATAGACAAATGCAGTCAAATAATAAAACTCGCCAAATATTCAATTAAATTTTGGTTTTAATTCTCATGGAAATATGCCACCTATAAAGTAAGGAATATTCAGACAGAACAAAATGAAATGGATGCATG